TCCTTAAAATCCATAATATAGGAGTATGAAAATATTTCCTTTTCTAAGTCAAAAATAAATCTATGGCATACTCATTTCAAATAGGATTCTTTTGAAGTACACTTTAATTTTAAGTAAACTGTGTAAATCATTTAATGGATTATATAAAAGACTACTAAAATTGACAATAGCAATGATTTTGCGTATAACATTGATTTATACCCCCAAACATTTATTCGCAGTGTACGCCTGGAAGAAGGAACGGTGAAATCTTTGATAGAAGAAAAAGGAGTTATCAAAGGAGTGACATATAAGAATAGCTTAGGCGAAGACACAACAGCCTTTGCACCTCTCACTGTGGTATGCGACGGTTGCTACTCAAACCTTCGTCGGTCTCTTAACGACAACAATGTGAGTAAAAAGTATAACTTTAAAATGAGAAAAAAGACTTTTAACATTTTCTTGTAAATGTTAATGAAGTAGAATTGATGCCACTCTGAGTTAGTCGAGTACTTTTTTTGGGTCAGAAGTTCGTGAATTAGTTTAATAAGCATTTATGTGCTATAATTTGACATAGGCGGAGATTCTATCGTACCAAGTTGGTTTCATCACAAAGAATTGCCGCCTTGATGATCCCGAAAAATTACACTTGATAATGGGTAAACCCTCCTCCATCATGTTGTATCAAATCGGCAACACCGACGTTCGTTGTAATTTTGATCTTTTCCCCGGCAATATTCCTTCTATTGCTAATGGTGAAATGGTTACCTTCATGAAGAACACTATAGCTCCTCAGGTACACGATGGGCTTATTAATCTTACTAGCTAGTACTAAATTTTCAAGAACGTAGTCACACATATTTGCAAGCGGTCCATGACTCCACGCATAATATGCATTTAACATCTCTTAAATACTTATTCTCTAGGTACCTCCAAAACTCCGCAAAATATTTTTGAAAGGAATCGATGAGGGGGCACAAATAAAAACAATGCCAACAAAGCGCGTGGAAGCTACTTTGAGCGAAAAAGAGGGAGTGATTGTATTGGGAGATGCATTCAACATGCGTCACCCAGTAATCGCATCTGGAATGATGGTTTTGTTGTCTGACATTCTCATTCTACGCGGCCTTCTCAAGCAATTGAGCAACCTCGGTGATGCAAAAAAAGTCTCGGAAGTTATTAAATCCTTTTATGCTATCCGAAAGGTATAAGCAAAATATGCACATACTAATCTAAAACGTAAACATTATTTCAAAATGTATCTACAACTTCAAAATACTGAAAAGAATACATGGCTTTGTATGGTGAAGCCAATGTCAGCAACCGTGAATACACTAGGAAATGCACTTTCTCAAGTGCTAATTGCATCTACCGACAAAGCAAAAGAGGCAATGCGACAAGGTTGCTATGATTACCTCTCTTGTGGCGGCTTTCCCACGTCATCGATGATGGCTCTACTTGGTGGCATGAACCCTCGTCCGATCTCTCTCATCTATCATATCTGCGCTATGACTCTATCCTCCATTAGCCAGCTACTCTCTCCATTTCCATCTCCTATTCGCATTTGGCATAGCCTCAGACTTTTTGGGGTAAGTCACTATCTATAATTCTCCTTATATTATACATTTTGTATATACGTATAAAATTGTGTTTTTATATAAATGTGTGTGTCGATCTTTTTAGTTTACTATTATAATTTGACATTGATTTTTGTGTGATTCCTTAGATGGCTATGAAAATGTTGGTTCCACATCTCAAAGCTGAAGGGGTTAACCAAATGTTGTCTCCAACATACGCAGCCGCGTATCGCAATACCTATATATATGGCCGCAAGCCCGCAACCGCTTAAAACGTTGATGCTCTATACCACGAATTATAACGTATATGGAGCACGAATCTTTGTGATTGTGCATTACTATATCTCAATGTGCTTACAATTATTAGTATACAGTATTAACTGGAAACAACCTGTCGCGGTAGCACAAAACAAAAAGAATTGTAATAAAAAAACGAATTTCGTTTTGTTGAGTGTTCGTGTACGATTTGCTGGCTTTAATTTTCTTACATGTTTTCTTTGATCGAAGAAATCTTTGTTTTTAATTTTATATACATAGTTAAAAAGCCTAAATATATAGAAGTTATAAGAAAATACTAGCCAATAAAAAAATACTATTCAATCGAAATTTGCCACATAATATCGCTAGATATACTTTTAAAAAAGGTCATGAGAGAAAATGTTATCAAAATAAAATGCGATCATATTATTGCCCAAAATTTTTTCGTGATTAATTATAAATTTTAATATCTATAAAATTATGATAATTAATTTAAATATTTCAAATTCGATTGATATATCGCCACCCTAGCTGTATTTGCAATAAAACATATTAATCATGGTATATAACGTTTATAAAATCTTCGTCAATCACATTTCACTAAAAAATAATAATTTTTTATCAGTTTTGATCTGTTATATCTATAGTTAAATTGAATTTTATTTTCCTAAGTTTAAATTAATTTTCTGAAAAAATGTATATATATAAAAAAAAAAAATTGTGGACATCGATCACATCTTAGTGCAGTGGACCTCATAATTGATGAAGTTATGTTGTCGTGTTCATGGAAAGCAGCAAAAAAAAAACGAGTTACTCTCGTAACGTCTCTATACACTCCAAAACAAACGGATGCAGCACTAAATTTATTGGGCATTTTGTGTGATCCATGTTCGGACATCACGATATTCGACCCGAGTGGTCAGATATTTAAGAAAGTTCTTTAAAAAAATTGGCTATTTTAAGTATATCATACTTCTTCTTTATCATAATAATTGATTTTAAGATTTGTATACACAAATTAAAAAAATATTAAATTCTTTAATTTTTCTAAATTCAAACACTATTTCCTATATACTTAAATTCAATTCAACCAATAGTAAATTAATCTGCAAAAATAAAAATAATCATATCAAATTAAAATGGATTTAATTTTGCATTGAAAACTGAAAAAATAATTAATTTAAAACAAACAAAAAAATCTCTAAAAAATTATTTATTATAATAGGGAGGCTTATTGAAACAACCCTAATATTGTGGTCAATTGCAATTATACACCCCTCTTTCTCTCTCACCAAATTTTTTTCAAACCAAACCATAGAATTCAACTTATTTACGAAAATGCCATTATATTTGAATTATTTTTTTTTTTAAAATCAGACATTCAAAACACACAAATAAACACCAAAATATATCAACTTATTTACGAAAATGCCATTATCATCAATATTTTCAACCACCATGAACAGCCAAAATCAAGCTCTAAATGCTTCCCCAACTGATTTTTCGTGGATAAGAGCTTCACTTGTGAGCTCATAACTTCTTCTTCACCCATTTCCTTTCCAATTTCATCCAAAAAACTATCTAAATTTGGTTTTCAAAATTCTTTCTCTCCTAATCTATCGATTTTCAATGGTTCTTGCATAAACGACGACTGGACTTCTTTATTAACGGTCAGATTATAAGTTTTAGGTGCTTGAAAGAGCTGAAAACCGAGCTCTACGGCGGAAACGGAGTTGAAAACCGTGTTTTTCGATCTGGTTCGCGATAGTAGAATGCATAAGAAGTCTGCTAGTCAACGAAAGGTTAGATTTGTAATTGACTATTTTAAAAAATATTCATAGCAGCCTGCTCGTGAAGTCTGCTTGTTCTTCTTTGATAAAAAAAAAAAACACTCGTAGACTTCACATGAAGTCTACATGAAAATGGGTTAGTTTTGCAATTGACCACAACTTTGACTTTATAGAACAGACTTCTGGTGGAGACACTAACTGGAGACTGCATATAGAGTCTGATTCGAGGTTATTTTTGGCATTGACCAGATTGTTGACTTTTTGAGCAGACGCAATCTGAAGTCTGTTCTATACGGACGGGTTAGTTTTGCGTTTGACCAAAACTAACCTCTTTCCAGAGTAGACATCAGATGGAGTCTACTGGCAAAGTCAACAATTTGGTCAATTGCAAATGTAACCCCTCCTTTTAGAGCAGACTCTATCTGCAGTCTACTCATCTCAGCAGACTTCTGATAGAGTCTACTCGATATCGATGGTTTTCCGCGTATTTAGTAAACTACAAAAGAAGTCTACTGGAAAAAGTCAAACTCTGGTCAATTGCAAAAATAACTTTTTTATTTAGCAGATTTCATAGAGAAGTCTACTGAAAAAGTCAAACTCTGGTCAAATGAAAAAGTAACCCAATAGATTTCTGATAGAGTCTGCTAGCGTTTGCCGTAATTGCAAATATAACGCATTATGTCACTACAAGAAAACAGCCACTTTTCCGACGGCCAAAACCGTCGAAAATCCGTCAGAATAAGCCCTATTCTGACGGCTCGCCGACGTTTTTGGTCCGTCAGTTCTATCTCGTCCGAAATTTAAAAACCGTCGGAAATCCGTCGGAAATACTGACGGATTTCCGACAGAAAAGGGATAACTGGAATCCGTCGGAATCACTGCCGGAGTTTTTCCGACGGCAAGAAGATCCGACGGATTTCCGACGGATCGTGTCACCGACGGATTTCCGACGGATCGTGTCACCGACGGATTTCCGACGGGCAAAACGTCTGACGGATTTCCGACGGTAGTAAAAACCGACGGATTTCCGACGG